CCTGGGAATGTGTCTGACTTCTCCCTGGGAATGTGTCTGACTTCTTCCTGGGAATGCGTCTGACTTCTCCCTGGGAATGTGTCTGACTTCTCCCTGGGAATGTCTCTGACTTCTCCCTGGGAATGTGCCTGACTTCTCCCTGGGAATGTGTCTGACTTCTCCCTGGGATTGTGTCTGACTCCTCCCTGGGATTGTGTCTGACTTTTCCCTGGGAATGTGTCTGACTTCTCCCTTGAATTGTGTCTGACTTCTCCCTGGGAATGTGTCTGACTTCTCCCTGGGAATGTGTCTGACAGTTGTCTTGTCTTTACACACAATTTATGTCACTACTAATATTCTGTTGTTCTTCATAAGAAGACTTTTGGCCAATTTTTCAAGAGCCCTGGGTGCTTATTGAGATGAATCTGGTATGATGTCTTGTCACAAAATATTCAGCGATTTAGAAGCTATGATCTGAACATTTGTGAAGAAAATATATGTCTTCCCTTATTTTTGCTTTGCACTTTTTTCACCTTTGACCTAGAGGTTAAGGTCACCATGACCTTGATTAAGTATACTGCTCATCTCGTGATTGTGATGATTTATTTCAACAGTTTAAAGCCAAGACAATTTCCACAAAAACATTTGCATTTATTTGACTTTTGACCAAGATGTAACCTAGAGGTGAAGGTCACAGTGATCTATTTTACCTAACGGATGTAATGACTCAGACAGTGACATCTACAATGATATTATCATATCATCCGAGTCATGTCACAATTATATTTTACAGTGATGACATTACAACCAGCTCATCACTGTATCAAGAATGCAGTAATACACGTCTCATGAAATAAACAATGCAAGTCATTGACAGTTGTAGTATTAAGGGTCCCTGTTCCACTGTACTGTGGTCTTTCCCAAATACAGTAGCCTCCCCTTAACTTCCATTTATATATAACTGAAGCACTGTTGGGCCTAGACACTTCTATTCACTAGGTAGCTGAATCAATAAGAGCAATTATATCAGGGTTGAAATTCAGTCTAGTCCCACTATATCAGGGTTGGAATCCGGTCGTGCCCCACTAATCCGGTCCAGCCCCACTAATCCGGTACGGCCCCACTAATCTGGTCGTGCCCCACTAATCCGGTCCAGCCCCACTAATCCGGTCCGGCCCCACTAATCCGGTCCAGCCCCACTAATCCGGTACGGCCCCACTAATCTGGTCGTGCCCCCCTAATCCGGTCCAGCCCCACTAATCCGGTCCGGCCCCACTAATCCGATCCAGCCCCACGAATCCGGTCCAGCCCCACTAATCCGATCCAGACCCACTAATCCGGTCCAGCCCCACTAATCCGATCCAGCCGCACTAATCCGGTCCAGACCCACTAATCCGGTCCAGCCCCACTAATCCGTTCCAGCCCCACTAATCCGGTCCAGCCCCACTAATCCGGTCCGGCCCCACTAATATTTTTACACTCGGAACACTGTTGTTGTTCATATTTTATTTTTTTTCATCTTCATTATTTCTCATAAAAGTCCAGCAAAGTATGGTTTTCTTTTCAGAAATGAGTTATCAAAGTGATAATCAGCCCAATAACACAGTTTCCAATACGTACTAAGTATTGGAAACTGTTTTATTGGGCATGATCTTAAGCTTCGATAACTCATTTCTGAAAAGAAAACCATTTTGGCAGTGGTACAGGGATCCATACGTTCAAAGTAAAACCTGCAGGAAAATTAACACATTGTAAAGTTTCCTTAAACCTGACCTCTAAGAAACATTACATGATAATTGTTTTCATTGAATTCTTATTCATAAAATTTACACCTTTTTCCCCCTCAGCTTTATAATGAATGAACAGGCAAAAAAACATGAATCTATACATGCATGAAACTCCCTTACATGGAGCTGTCAACTGTTTACTAAATAACCTGGTATCCTTTTGTGTATTTACTTTTGTGGTTTGTGCGGTTGCATTGAACTTGCAACTATTATTACAACAGTGTGTTCATTATGTTTATAAAATTTTCATTCTTTTTCTGCAGCAGTTTTGACAAGGAAACAAAGTTTGTTTAGTCTATAATGAAAAAAACAATACATGCATACATCTATATATAAACTGTGTAACATGGAACTGTCAAGGTGTGTACTAATTATATAACCTGATATTCTTTCATGTATTTACTATTGTGGTTTTTGTGGTTCCATTGAAACTGTAAATATTAGACCAGAACGTGGTGTTTAGATTAGTTTCATTGTATCCGTGCTCACGTTTATGGTGCTACACATAATTTACATCACTATAACACTGCCAACTTTGACAGCACAGTCAGTCTGACATTGTAGCCCGGGGATGTACAAAATTTCCTGATACCTTGGTTATGACAAACACATGTTAGACGATGAGTCAACAGGTTTAAAAGAGACTGTTTTATTACCAGCGGGTCAGCATAGCACTCCAAACAGGATTAATTCCTGATTAAAGCATGGTGCTGACTTTGATGAAGTACTTGTGGAGGTTTGTTCAAGAAGAATAGAGACTGGTACATCAATGTTGACAGGAATGATACAACGAAGCACTTAAAACATTTAACTAAAACAACAATATTGATTATAAATAGAATTAATTAAACCATTTCGTGTTAGGAAACCAAAAATATATTAATACTGGCACTAATTGGCCACAATCCCCTTTTCTGTCATGGTTGAGAAAAACAGAAGAAATCTAACCAGTAAGTAGCGATTTACAGAATGTTTGACACGACCTACTGGCCCAATTAGATAGAATTTAAATACCTTTCCATAAATCTGATTATAATTAGAAGGAAAGAAGATTTTTTTACTGTTGTACATACTTCAAAAAACTGTGCCATAGATTTATGCAAAAACACTGCATCTATCCCTTCTCTTAAACATTGTTGCATCACTATGACATGGTCTCAATAAAGTAAATATTGGAAGAAATCATTCACAAAAAAGTGTATCATAATACACATTTCCATGACCTTTAACCCTAGCCGACCTCACCTTCATGTATGACCTTTCCTTTCCAGGGGTGGGTTTTAAGAAACACACTGGACATATAACTATAACCTTTCCTTTGTCGTTGTAGCCGCCTCTGTGGTGGAATGTTGTCCAGTCTGTAAACGACCTATCAGCTAACACACCCTCCATTGTAGGTGTTTACCTACGTGTATACCTACGTAAGTTCTCTACATGTCCAAGCTGGACCTTTGTTGTTGGTCTATTAGGGTGGCCCAAGGCCTTCCCAGTAAGTGTTAGAGAACTCATAACGTCAGATAAACCAACAATGCACCATTTATAAGTTATGAAAATCAACATGATTACAGTAAATAGTAGCCTTGAGGTGACTGTAGATTTCGCTATGTTTTTGAACTGTTTTGCCGAGACCTTGAGGAAAGAATTAACTAAAGTGCTCACATCTGAAAAATTGCATTGTGATACGTCATGTCTTTGTAATTATAACGGATAAAGTGTTTGGAAGATGTCAATTTCACCTGTTTTTTAATGGCGTAGGCAAAATCAATTTGAGCACATTAACATCACTGTAAACACTATTTCAGCTATCGTTTCAGTGTTAATGTGATTTTTAAATCATCTTTCAGGATACTTTAAGAAGATGTGCTGCATATTAAAAACGACACTGATCAAAATACACATAAAAATGCTCCTCGAATGTATATACCTATTCATTAAGAACATATTTGATTGCAAATGCGACTCTTGAATGGAAAATTACCTGTAGGGTTAAAGTCACTAAGGCTTTATTAGCTAGCCTACTCATCCATCTTCATTAACATTTCTCTGCTTTTATTTTAATTTATGTCTATTACATTAGAAATACATACACTAATATTTTTCAAAATTACACTTTACCAAATGTTCAAAATCAACAAGCTAATTCCCAGATTTAATTTTCCCCGTTGTGAGTTTCTTGGGAAGTACGTAATTATAAATATCCTATTAGGGACAGAAAGCATACACCAAATATGGCAAAGACAACTGAATACATTTCTGGAAAACAACAACCAATCGGAATTAAGGAAATTCCTTTTATCTTATTAATATGGTACGAATTGGAGTCATCATCAAACTTGGCCCAGGCATTATAAAAACCTCAACCAAGTTTGGTGAGAAATCCAAGAGACATTTATCAATCACCTGCTATTTATAAAGGTGATGGTGAAGAATACTTGATGCTTCAATGTTTGAGGAGAACATATGTGAAAAATTCAACATATTTAACTTCCTTGCATGACCTTGAATATCAGTCTAGATAATAAATGTTCTGACACCGCTGATAGCCCTTAAATCACACCAATTTACCCTAATGACTAGGGGGCTTGATAAGTCATTGGAAGATTTTGACAAACGTTTCCTGTGACCTTGAGTATACCGTATTTATCATGCAATAAGCCTAAGGACCAGACACATAATCTCTACTCAAAGTAGGGTGTGTTTATTTATTATATTACGGGAAAATGATATGGCATTTGAGCTGACACTTTTTGCTGAACTTTAGTATATGTGTGTGGGCTTATCACCAGGCATGGACTTCGTTTTGTGCCAGGTGAGGTGTACAGGTATTGTCTGGTAGGGAAAACCAATCAGAAGTGAACAACAGCTGTTAATGATCAGGTACCTGAATCTGCTCATTTTAATGAAAGCCATCAATATTTATGGAATGCTTTAGCTAATCAGAACATCTAAAATGATGTCTTCCTTGCAAAAGGATAATATTTTGACATAAAATGTGACATAACGTACAACAATAAAGGATAGACATTAGTGTGTGAGAGATTGTTAAAGACAGAAGTAATGTATGTCAATTGGTATGCAAAATCAACACAACATACATAAACAATAATGCTTGATCAATAATAACCACTCTTTCTGGCTAACTGATTAAGACCTGTTTAAACCCTTTTAAATTGGATTTCATTTGAAACTATATTCACCTATCTTTTCAGCTGACACAGCAGAAAATATACTTACTTTTGGGAAATCTTCGGGTGAGTGACAAGTTTCTGTATGAAATCATCCAGGCCGTCTCTTCGTTGCTGGATAAAATCTGGGTCCAAGTTTCCGAATATCTTCTTTCCAGGCAGTCGAAGGTTGGACTCTGGGTATAGCTTCTTTATCTGTGTTTGACATAACAAGAAATTTATTTAAAGCTGGTCTTTATTCGGCAGGTGACTAGTTCTTATCTACAGCCTCTACAGATACAACGCACGAGTTTCACTGCTACCAATTAACTTACAAACATACAGACAGAAACTGTGAGAAAAAGAAGGGGGATATGTGTACAATTTCACTTGCCTGACACCTATACGTGTAGAGCTGGCAGATTTTATGTCAGGGCCCATGAAAATGTTCAATATTTCCACGGAAAATACAGGTTAAACAAGTATAAATTTACTAAATCTGTCCGTGGGTTTATACTCTGTACCCCCTATGTGTGTTATCTTTGATAGGGAGGAGAAGCGGTCAGGGTCTAGATGTGCTGTTGTAGCATTTTTATATCTAGGTCAGGTTTACGTATATCACTTGAAAAAAAAGTTTGTAGACAAATTCCAGTATGTCACATTGATGGAGCTTAGCCATTAAACACACTCTGTAGGATTCCATAATTATTCCTCAATACAGTCAGTCAGTTTTATTTATTCTTATTTGTATTTATTATAACAAGGAGGAATTAATTCAAACATGTACATAAATCAATCATTTAGCAATATGTACATACTGTATTGAACCTAATAAGTGTCCCCCTATCTCTCATACATGCTCCAACACTTTTAAGTGCTCCCATATTTTCTTGGTTTTATAGTGTTTAATGTCCTATTAACAGCAGAGGTCATTTAAGGACGTGTCTCCATGTGTGTGAGGTATGCGTGCATGCGCGTATATGTGTCCTGGAGGCAGTATATTGGTGTAATCTGTTTGCATCCTTGTGACTTTAGAGTGCTACCCCACTGAAATAGCATGTCGAAGGCATCCCCGAAGGTACCCAACATGGTGTTTATAAAGAAAACAAACCTGAAAAAAAATGTTGAAACTACTGATTTCAAACTACTGATTTTTTCAAATTTTTTTATAATATTTTTCAATCATTTTGATTTCCCTAAATAACAGTAAGCATTTAAGTATTTATTAAGTCAAATATGGTAAACACTGCATTTTATTTGGTATGTTATGTAATAATCGAAACGATGCTGACATAATCACTTCAGAAAATTCATAAATCAAATACTCCAGATTTGGATACTGTATACAGTAGTGCGTTAGTATTATTGACTATGTTTACACCTGTTATAAATTAATACAAATAGCCAGGTAAACAGTCTTATCAACTGTCCATGTTTACATAACTGGATCATATAGTACCGGGAGGGTGTCCCCAGGCATTCTCACATCTAGAGCACGGCTGTCAAAGATAAGACAGATCTGGAACGATTATATATATAAACACAAGAGGTCAAAAACTCATTCCAGTTATAATTTCATAAATAATTCAAAATATAAATAAATTGTCATAATTATCTCTTAAAACTGCACAGAACTTATATCATACAAATTGCATTTACATATATATACAAAATATATATATACAGATGTGACTCTTCATAGAAACCTACCTTTAAGTTAAAAATTCCCTGGAAAAACTTTTCAAACACCATCACTTGTATTTAGGTGTAGATAAGGTGATAAAATGTTCTACTGTTCTACAGAGCAGTGGATCAGCATTAGATACAGTGTCTAGTATTAAATACCTACAGAGTGCACACTACATCCTACAGTATCAAATGAAGGTCAGGCCACGACTTGGTCACATGACCAGTCAAGTAACAAGAATGTGTCAGATTTGATTGGGCCACAGGTAAAAACTATGCACTGCTGCCCGTCATCGGCAGGATTTCCTGGTCCTTAACCAACAGATCAGCTATAGAGACACTTATTTACAATAAAAGATTTCAACGTATTTGACTGAGAAATTAATTAACACCTGATGATATTTTTGTGGTAAATACCCTTTTTCCTTAATTTAGAAATGATTTGACATGTCTTTATATGAAATGTACTGAAGTGGAAAATTACAAGGAAGTTTTTTTAAGGAAATGAGTACAATGTGTCAAGAGTGCAAATTTAAATTAAACTTTATATCTATTTCACAATAACTGAGAAACAAAATCTGGTATATTAGTCACTCTTGTTGGCACATAATTGGTAGCATTTATGCTCTTAGAGTGCAAAATGAAAATCTATTTATATTTAAGAAAAAGTTATTATAGCCAGCTAGCTAGTCCCTTGTTGAACTATTATACTGCATAGGCTTTATAGCACTATAATGCAGTGGTAGATTTAGAAGTTGTTCGTGGAATTCAAAGAAACAATTTATCCCCTTCCCCCTCCGCCCCACACAAGACTTAATACCCAAGTTTGTGAATTTTCTTGAAATGTATTTCCCCCAATTTTTACCATTTGAAAACATTTAATTGTTCAATGGAAATATAACATTTCCAGACTGCTCTTTTAATTCACCACTGGGAATGAAAAATTACAGCCTATTCAGTTTAAAAAGTTCTTCAGTGATGTACTTGAATATTTAAGTACATGTATTCCATATCTTAAGTATTTGTTTACATACCTGACAGTTGTCAATCACAAGTTCTTTAACCACACAGTTTAATTGTGATGATATTTGTAGAAGACAGCAAAGAAATAGATTTGGATGACATAAGTTATAATATACCTCGTCGATCAGTTACACTGTCCATGATTTGATCAGACACATCACATGACTGTGAGACAAATTATCGTGTCTCATGGTACCCTGTACCCCATGTTGACATACAATTGTATTTCCCAACAGCCTATATAGCCTATGCCCCCATGGGAAAACTCTCAATCATTTTTGAGAGACATGATAATTATCAACTTTTTCTACATGAAAAGCAATAGCAGCTAGATGACCAATCATCTTTATATAGAAGGATGATGTTGTAATTATTTTTTATTATATTTACTTGCAGATTTATGGTTATTAAAGCATATGTCAATGACCTAGAATTGTTTCTGTGTGTGTGTTTGATGAAACTTTATTTGGTATAATAAACAATTTTTAGTGCTGTTGGAAGAAAGAAATGAAAGTTTGTATATACCTACAACAGTCATATATGACCGCTAAGGTAAACAAATCTTCATATCACCCTACCACCAGGTCTATAAATGTATATTATATCACTTGCCTGGATACATCTATACTTACATGTACAGTGCACAGCTTATCAAAACCAACCAGAAATAGCACACAAACCTGTACTTAGTAGAAATATAAGTGGTTTTCAGTCTCACATGTAATCATATCTGCAAGATTCTCATCTTAGATCCTCCTGTGTCAATTTCATATTTCGTCAGAATACTTTTACAACTAGGAAGTCTGAAATCATACATTAGCGGTTCCCATGTCCGTTCTTTACATAGAAGCACACGACAGACAATAACCTGTCAATGTACTGTCCTATAGGGAAATCTGACGTACCCTGAGGTGACAGATCACAAATCTATAGACAAGCTTCACAGTTTTCTACCTATAGTCCCGAGGTGTTGACCGAGTAGCTCACTTATAGCCTAAACATTACCTGACATTCCAGACAACAATCATTCTACCACATGTACAGGCATACAAACTAATCTCATAAACTTAACATTTAACAAACATATTTGGATATAATTCTAACAAAATGAACATCATTCTACCAGAACCTTATATATATATAGGCCCAATGTATGAATTTAAACTCTCACTAACCTGATCTTTACAAGCCAGGTAACATATTTAAACTGTTTCTTTCTTAACTGTGAACTACTGAAAACAGCTATTGATTTATGCTATGAATCAAGATATCAAGATATCTCCTGAAGAAAATATCAATAGTGTTTGTTTATGTTTTGGCACCTTCAACGTTGATAGATTATCAACAAACATCTTGTTATGCTATCAGAAACCATACTTCTCATTGAACAGTTTCATATTTGTGATCTCACATTTAAATTCTATGGATTTTCTTCATTACAATATATTATAATCTTGTTCTCAATCTGCTTATTTTAAAAAGTATATGTGGTTTCCATTGATCTCTAAACAATCATTTGATTTTGAATCAATAAGTTTGCCACACTCTCCAGGTATACAACATGGAATTTTATCCTGGCCCAGGGATGGGCACCATTGCTTCAGACTAAATTAGGTCAAAATCTGTTCACCCATACGTACATGAAAGGAGTAGTCATCTGAAAATTACCCTTATTTCCCATTTAGGAATACTTTTTAAATTTTTACATGGTATATGAATTAATTCCCTTGGCCTAGGAATGGAAAAAACCCAGAATTGTTTTTTAAAACAATTATATTTGTTGCTGGCAAAGGAGTGATTTCACAGAGATAAGCATTTTATTTTTAAAGTATAGGATTTCCCCACCTGTAAACTTAAGTATCCAAGTTCCACCTCTGGCAAAACACTAGAGAATTCCAATGTTGTACATCTGTGTATGCTATACATACAGTTACCTCCCCTTAATTAATTTGCATACCTTAAAAAGTACCAGCGCAAATTACATGGGGTTTTACGGTACATCTGAAGAGCAACTGGTCCAGCAAACTACCGTTGACCAGGCACCTTAATGCTAAAGCAACTGTATATGATAAGAGGTCCAGGGTTCCAATCCTGGTCTGCCCCACCACATTTTAAACTCAGAACCCTGTTGTTGATATTATTTGTTTATTTCGTCTTTATTATTATTTTATAAAAAATCTACTCAGTTATCCATTCAGAAATAGTTTATCCAAGCCATACCACAGTGATGCCAGAAATAAAAGTTACAGTTTCTGATAGTGGTACGGGGATCCTTACCTGGACAAATCATAAATGATAACGAGAAATGAATGACGATTGATAAAAAAATCTCAATCAGGAAAACACATGGTTAACATTTTTATTATTAAAATTGACAACTGCCCCAATAAAAATTGAACTTCTCTGACACATATTAACATACTGACAAAGGCATACTTTGACAGGTAACGACAGTTGTGAGGGCCCTACACACATATCCAAGCTTCAATGTCATACGATGAGCAAGCAAAACAGAGTAATTAAAATCTGTCTGCCCAAGGAACTTATTTAAAAGTTTTAAAACATGTGATTCTTTTTTCACATTAATTGTAAAATTGATCGATGGCTTTAAATCCTAGAAATGAATCATACACAGCAGTCCTAATCATTTAAAAGCTTTACCTGAACTGTAAGAAATATTTTACATTTCAAACTGATGCATACCTTAGATTAATTGCAAACAACTGCTGAAATTATTCAGAACAGAGACATAACAAGCACATACTTATTTGAAAAATATTTATATTTTCACAGGCACCATAATGAAAAACCAAATCAAGGGATCAAACAAGTGACCCCCCACTTTTACAGGGACTGTGATCATATGTACAATTAAAACCTGCTACATTTTAGTCAAACTTCTCAAATTATTGTACGACAGATATTTTTATGGGCCTAGTTGGTAATAATAACATTTCCCTGTTTGTTAGTATAATTCATTCTTAGTGTACTAGACAAGCTTCAATTATGTTTGAATCTGATCAACTCTAATAACTTAATGCCGACAATAGATTACATTGATTGTCCTTTCCGATATAAGTCTGTTATTGGACAGTTGTGATGGGCAATCAAAATAAAATCATAATCGATGATTGGTTTGTAATCGAAGTAGTAAACCGATCAATGATCGATTGCATAATCGGTACATAATTTTATGGGGGTCAGGGACTGAATACCCAAATAAAGTGAGAACACTACCATAACATCAACAGACAGAGTTGTTAACTATACACTAGCATAACATCAATAGACAGAGTTGTTAACGATACACTATCATAACATTAATAGACAGAGTTGTTAACTATACACTAGCATAACATCAATAGACAGAGTTGTTAACTATACACTAGCATAACATCAATAGACAGAGTTGTTAAATATACACTACCATAACATCAATAGACAGAATTGTTAACTATACACTACCATAACATCAATGGACAGTGGTGTTAACTATACACTACCATTACATCAATAGACAGAGTTGTTAACGATACACTATCTTAACATCAATAGACAGAGTTGTTAACGATACACTATCATAACATTAATAGACAGAGTTGTTAACTATACACTAGCATAACATCAATAGACAGAGTTGTTCACTATACACCACCATAACATCAATAGACAGAGTTGTTAAATATACACTACCATAACATCAATAGACAGAGTTGTTAACTATACTCTAGGTTTCGTTCATTTATAATGAATGGTTTTCAAGCAATTTTTATGCAGTTTTATCAATCATACAGCAAAAATCATAAGAATAATAGACTTTCAATAAAAACTTTCACACTGAAAACATTTAACACTTTGATTTAAATAAAGAACCGATTATATCGATAATGGAATTTGTAATCGATAATCGGAATCGGAAAGGGCAAACAAATCGATTTTTGATTATAATCGATCATCAGCTCATCACTATTGGACAGTGAACAGGGTTTATTAGATCATTACTAGTATGGTAACAGGACAAAATGAAAGGACAAACTTTCTGAAATACATGTTCAAACAAATCCATTTATTTTCATATTCCAATATAACATGCAGTACAATGCTCTTCATTTCATTTACTAAACATTTACAAAGGTGTTTGAATAATATCAGTTGAAACTGTACACCGTGATTCTGGTATATATACTAACTTAATGATAATCCTTCATGTAAGCTAGGGATCATGTATGCATCATTAAGTGGATCAGCGTATAGGAATATTCATTATAAAACTAGGATTTCAGTCAGACTATCTATATCATAGGTATGTGATCTCGCATGCAACAAGATGTTACTAGGGCCAATGCCTCTTAACTGACTTGTATATGACACATAAACTCTATTACCAGAACGGAAATAGCCCTCAACCCAAATATAGGTAGAAAAAAGTGGAACTAATAACTTAGGAGCTATATACTGCTTTGAGTATTTTTTGTATAAAGAACATGTTTTGTCAAAACTGTCAAGGTTGCTATTTGTTACTGGCAGACATTCATTTCCAGTTTATTACTTTGTGTGTAAAATATATGACAAGTCCATTCATCTTTTACAGAGAAGTGGTTTTGAAAACGTGTCAAAGTCATTAATTTAAACAAACCTTAGGATCCCCTCATCAAACCAAGCTACATGTTCAATATTACAATTTAGAAGCTGTCTGAATACTTTAATGCATTTAACCCTTATTACCTTGAATGTGGGTCCAGGTTATTTACGTAAACAATTTTGATATCCCTTCACTATTAGACTTATGGCCACAGATAGTGTTACTCTAGTATCGTGATTAAAAACATATGACCTCATTGACCTTGAGTTTGACTCATTATTTCTGATTGCCCCTTTATCCAAGAAAGTCAAAAGTCCATTTTTATAACGCTTACAGCCATTAAATGCTGAAGAAGAAAACATTTCCAGAAGCAGCTGATGCTGGATGCTGGACAGATGGATATCAGACAACAAAGAAAAGACACTTATCATCTCATAAGCTCACAGGCACTTTTCATCTCATAAGCTCACAGGCACTTTGGGCATTCGTGAGCTAAAATCCAGCTTTCAAAATCTGTGTCCAGGGAATATTTTAGTCTTAAAAAGATCAAAACTGATGTTACAACAATTAGAAAATATTGTGAGATGTTGTCTTGGCAACATAGAGATAAAGTGCATGGGTGATACATCCATACAAGTCCAATGTTATAAACACAACTCTAAGCAATTGCTAATTAAATACATAGTGTGGTTTTCTTATAAATGTATATACAGTTGTGTCTGTATTCTGTGTCCTGTGTTACCAGTATGATAAACTGTATATCAGTCATTTTTAGCATACCTTAAATTCTGCAGGTTCTATACAAAATCACAGGTTCTATATTTAGCGTCTTTAATTTTTAGCTATTACCGGTACACAATTTGCTTTTTAATTTCATCAACTTGCTTATAAATGATAAACCCAACATGTGAATGTCAAACAAATATTTGCTGAAGGTTTTCAGATAAAGACACACAGTCAAAACACCTGGTAAATCAAGGTAAAATTGGGATATCGCGACAATAAAAAATAATGATAAGACTTAAAACAGACATGGAGATGGCAATAAGTTGAGTTGTAAACTTAGGCAACATATTTCTGATGTCCATGTATTGTTCAGGGGACAAAAAATGGTTTTCCCTCTTTTTATCCAGGAGTTGGCAATTGCCAATCCTTCAAATGTAAGTCAAGAAGGTTGTTAAGTTCTCAAATCTTGCTTGTCTTTGTGATTTCTGTTCTCTTTATTAAGTTTATTATAACATGTATCCTGAAATGGCCATCTTTACTGTGCAAATAGCCAGCTCGCTATGATTTCAAACACATAATGGACAATGCATGGCCAGTCAATTGGTCGATGGTCTCATGGTTGGTATGACTTGATATTCAATGGAGTGTTGATGGTCAGGTAGCAGTAATAAGGAGGCAACAACCCGCCATACAATAGTTCAGTATTTAGCTATTTCTATATTTTGTGATGGCAGGCTGTTGCTTATGCAAAGATTACACACATGTTAAAATAAAACCTGGTATGTTTTAATAAAACATTCTTCTTTTGCGAATAACATTAGTTTATTGAATGTCCTAAACCTTTTTTTGTATCTTATGTACTCACTTTTTCATGCAGTCCATAGAATTCATTGTAGCGCCGAAACAGGAACCACGATTTGTCTCCATTTCTCACTAGCACCTTATACACCTGCAGAGAAAAGACATGCTTCATCACTTTCCAAAATGCTGTTGGCGATCGTTTGAAATTGTCTCGTTCATTTTTTTTAGAAGATCTGGAACGTCCAGAGAGTTCTGGTAGCACAGTAATCATAATGTCCTCCGCCGCCATCGTAATTCATAAAACAAAGGGAGATAACCCAAAGTTGGTAAGTATAACAGAGGCACGTTTTAAATGTGTGCAGGACTGTGTCTATGAGTAAAGTCTATGTATCACTTCACAATCACTTGAAATCCCAGCAAATACATCCCAGGTACTGAACTGTTAATCTTGATCCTTTACACAGATATCACTACACCTATAGGACTTCCCAGGAGAAAGCATGTTTCTAACACATGACTGTTAGCTGCTGCTCAGTCTCTGTGTATATCTGATCAGCTGATTCATAGCCAGGTACGTCAGACTAGTGTGGTCAATATACAGGCTTGGCCATGACCTGTACTTGTAACAACAAACTTTAACGATAAGAGTCACATAATGGTCTTAGATGGTAGAAGTACAATAACTTGAAATTGAATAATACCATCTATCAAGAGACAGTGCTGTTTTCTATGCCCTTGAACTTTCATATCAGTAATTTTGTACTTGCTGACTGGTCAAGCTTCTGGGCACTCTATATATATACCTGGTGTTTAATCCTTGTGTTTACACTTCTTTTCTCATACTAAGCTAACGGGACAACACACAGGTAAGCCCAGGTGTTTTGTCCTAAATAAGCACCTGAGTCGATGGATTGTTTCACCTGATAATTGTACAGATCTTGCAACCACATGTCGTTTTTATTACAACACATGTACAATAGTGTGGAATCCACCATAAACATGTTTTCTCCTGCCATTAGCCCTGTTTATCTACTGAGTGCCATTACACTCCGGACACACCGGTGGATCTAACATAAATGCTAATCATTCAATCAGTCAACACCTTCCTTCACTTTGATTTGTCCAAATCTTGAACTATGGAATGCGGTGACTTGAGGAATTGCATCCTAAATTTGGTGATCCTTTATTCCTAATTAATGCATGAATTAAATTAAAGTAAAGTAGTCAGATATAATTTCAAACATATCAACTGACCTTTTCAGGCAAGAAATTTACTAAACTGTTCTTGTGTTTGAATATCTAATTATTTCATGTGAAAGAACACTTCTAAAGTTGACATTACTAAGTGTTAACTTTTAGCTACGGGGTTAGTGATAGTGTAAACCGAAACCATTACTGGTTATAATAACACAGAGATCTAACATCCCTATGGTACAGATTTCTAGTTATAATAACACAGAGATCTAACAGCCCTATGGTACAGATTACTGGTTATAATCACACAGAGATCTAACATCCCTATGGTATAGATTACTGGTTATAATGACACAGAAAACTAACATCCCTATGGTACAGATTACTGATTATAATAACACAGAGATCTAACATCCCTATGGTACAGATTTCTAGTTATAATAACACAGAGATCTAACATCCCTATTATAACCAGTAATCTATACCATAGGGATATTAGATCTCTGTGTTACTATAACCAGTAATCTATCACCTTAGGATGTTAGATCTCTTTGTTATTATAACCAGGAATCTGTACCATAGGGGTGTTAGATATCTGTGTCATTATAACCAGAAATCTATACCATAGGGAGGTTAGATCTCTGTGTCGTTATAACCAGTAATCGATACCATAGGGATGTTAAATCTCTGTGTTATTACAACCAGTAATCTGTACCAGAGGGCTGTTAGATCTCTGTGGTATTATAACCAGTAACCTGTACCTTAGAGATGTTAGATCTCTTTGTTATTATAACCAATAATCTGTACCATAGGGGTGTTAGATATCTGTGTTATTATAACTAGTAATCTGTACCATAGAGATGTTAGATATCTGGGTTATTATAACCAGTGATCTGTACTATAGGGATGTTAGATATCTGGGTTATTATAACCAGTGATCTGTACTATAGGGATGTTAGATTTCTGCGTCATTATAACCAGTTGTGTTATTATAACCAATAACCTGTAACATAGAGATGTTAGATCTCTGCGTCATTATAACCAGTTGTGTTATTATAACCAGTGATCTGTACTATAGGGATGTTAGATATCTTTGTTATTATAACCAGGAACCTGGACCATAGAGATGTTAGACCTCTGTGTCATTATAACCTGTAATCTGTACCATAAGGATGTTAGATCTCTGTGTTATTACAACTAGAAATCTGTACCATAGGAATGTTAGATCTCTGTTTTATTATAACCAATAACCTGTAACATAGAGATGTTAGATATCTGCGTTATTATAACCAGTGATCTGTACCATAGGGCTGTTAGATCTCTGTGTAATTATAACCAGTAATCGGTACCATAGGGATGTAAGAACTCTGTGTCATTATAACCAGAAATCTGTACCATAGGAATGTTAGATCTCTGTGTCGTTATAACCAGTAATCGATACCATAGGGATGTTAGAATTCTGTGTTATTATAGTTAGTAATCTGTATCATTGTGATGTTAGATCTCTGTGATATTATAACCAGGAACCTGGACCATAGAGATGTTAGATATCTGGGTTATTATAACCAGTGATCTGTACTATAGGGATGTTAGAACTCTGTGTTATTATAACCACTAATCTGTACCATAGTGATGTTAGATCTCTGTGGTATTATAACCAGTAATTAATCTATACCATAGGGATGTAAGAACTCTGTGTCATTATAACCAGAAATCTATACCATAGGGATGTAAGATCTCTGTGTCAGTATAACCAGTAATCTAACATCCTTATGGTACAGATTACTAGCTATAATAACACAGAGATTTAACATCCCTATGGTACAAATTACTGGTTATAATACCACAGAGATCTAACACCCCCATGGTACAGATTATTGGTTATAATAAAACAGATATCTAACATCCCTATGGTATCTAACATCCCTATGGAACAGATTACTGGTTACTGGTTATAATATCACAGAGATCTAACATACCTATGGTACAGATTCCTGGTTATAATAACACAACTGGTTATAATGACACAGATATCTAACATCTCTATGTTACAGGTTATTGGTTATAATAACAAAGAGATCTAACATCTCTATGGTCCAGGTTCCTGGTTATAATATCACAGAGATCTAACACCGCTATGGTACAGGTTATTGGTTATAATAAAACAGAGATCTAACATTCCTATGGTACAGATTTCTAGTTGTAATAACACAGAGATTTAACATCCCTATGGTACATATTACTGGTTATAATACCACAGAGATCTAACACCGCTATGGTACAGGTTATTGGTTATAATAACAAAGAGATCTAACATCCCTATTGTACAGATTTCTAGTTGTAATAACACAGAGATCTAACAGCCCTATGGTACAGATTACTGGTTATAATGACACAGAGATCTAACATCTCTATGGTACAGGTTACTGGTTATAATAACACAGATATCTAACATCCCTATGGTACAGATTACTGGTTATAATAACACAGAGATCTAACATCCTTATGGTACAGATTACTGGTTATAATGACACAGAGGTCTAACATCTCTATGGTACAGGTTACTGGTTATAATAACACAGAGATCTAACATCCCTATGGTACGGATTACTGGTTATAATTACACAGAGATCTAACATCCCTATGGTAGAGATTACTGGTTATAATGACACAGAGATCTAACATCCCTTTGGTACAGATTACTGGTTATAATGACACAGATATCTAACATCTCTATGGTACAGGTTACTGGTTATAATAACACAACTGGTTATAATGACACAGAGATCTAACATCTCTATGGTACAGATTACTGCTTATAATAACACAGAGCTCTAACATCCCTATGGTACAGATGACTGGTTATAATTACACAGAGATCTAACATCTCTATGGTACAGATTACTGCTTATAATAACACAGAGCTCTAACATCCCTATGGTACAGATGACTGGTTATAATTACACAGAGATCTAACATCTCTATGGTACAGATATGTGATCTTTAAGGTAAAGGGTAGAAGTCTGCACAGTTGTAATCGCAAAGGAAAGTTCCACTACAAAGCAGTGTCTCTATCTTAGGTGAAGACTACCAACAAATTTAACTATTTTTGACGAAACCCATTGATAAGTTTTTTTAATACTAGTCCAAAATGCTTTGATACAGATACATTGTTGATAATTTTTGTCTTCAATTTTACCTAAGAAAATACATACAAAAAAAATCAAGAATATTATTATCAAAATAACGAATGTCCTCGCATTGCTTGTCTATAGAGACGTTATAATAACATTGAAAGATCTTAGAGGTTATTACTCATTGTTTATGAGATGTGATTGAAGATGAATTCCATTTTTTTTCTGACATGTCCTTTATATCAAATATTAAGAGTTAAATTCATTAAAAGGTACTACTGGCGTAGGCCATCTGTCTTCAAGTTAACTCAGTTATCAATTGTACAGAACAATAAGGAATAAACAGCAAAGGTCAAAGTTGGGACCTTAACATTGCAAAACAAGTCATATCAGTGTGCTATTTACAGGCTATGAAAAAAAACTTGACACAGGAATTTACTCAAGCCATACAACTCCTTTTGTGTGCTTCATCTTCTATCTAGAAGTAAAAAACCTCTGACCGGAACTCTTCTTTACAATTGTATCTGTGCAATGTTACCATTTCCCTTAAAGGGTGCTCCCTTATACACAGAGGAATTGAGAGAATGAAGCAACAAATAGCAGGAGAGTTTTCCTGGCTCAGAGTTACTTCCCATATCAAGTATTAACCTCTCGTTTTGATGCTGTGCATTCATATTTCCTGTGAAGTAATAGTTGAAGTAGATTTTTCTTTTCTTTTCTTTTTGTTTTTCAAATACTCAAATATCAAACTGCTACAATACTGTAAAATACATTGCAACATGTGATTTAAATGCAATTTTTCTGTAGAAAATGACTTGGAGCATAATAATAGTGACATGTAGTATATTTTGATTTAACTTTAACTGAAAGTGCAGCAATCTGAAATGGATACTGGAACAATCATGGGAGATGATTACAAAAGAAGTACTTATAAACAAAACAGTAAATACAACAAATACTAATCAAGTGATGGAGCATCACCACCATTCAAGGATGCCGTCACAGTTAATGTTTTATGCTGTTTACTTGTTTCAGCTGGCTAGGCCAACGTCATCAGAATTGGTGACGGGTTTTGATGATGCTTGGCTTAGCCAACCGAAACATGTAAACAAAATAAACAAAATATAAACTTAAGTCCACTGTAACAGGGTCCTTGCTGTTGATGCTTTATCACCATTTAGAAGGTAAAATACATTCATCTAATAGGTTTTTGTAACATTCAAACTGGTATGAATGCAATTTATTCTTTACATCTATAATAAATGACAGGAGACCTGCATGTTACAACTGTGTCCAATTCCTATAGAAATGTGTTTGCACAACCATTTGAAACCAAGTACCAGGTATGTTGTGTCCAGGAGTTTGACCGGTCAGTAAGTATACAAGTACAAAGCTTTGAAAACACAAATCTCTTTGACAGCTGATATTATTCAACTCAATTGAATAAAGGTCTATAATCTTCTTAGACCATTACATGACTGTTATGATTAAAGCTTGTACAGTATAAAGGTCAAGGTATGGTCAGTGCATTGACCACACCAGATTGACATCAGTCATATGAAAGTACATTTATATGTTTGTAAATAGGCCAATCACTTTATTATTCCCTTTATTTCCTCCAAAATGAAGATTACATATATACATACATGGACATTGAAAGAGTACAAGGGTATCATTACTTTAGTGTGTACATAACTAACTATATACTCCTTTATTTCCTCCAGAATGAAGATTATAATGATAACATGTCATTGTCAGCCATTTCATGTTTGTCACTCACAGCCACCAAATGTTTGTCACTCACAGTCACCAAATGTTTATCACTCACAGTCACCAAATGTTTGTCACTCATAGCCAACAAATGTTTGTCACTCACAGCCATCAAATGTTTGTCACTCACAGTCACCAAATTGTTGTCATTTACAGCCACCAAAAGTGTGTCACTTGCAGCCACCAAATGTTTGTCACTCGCAGCCACCAAATGTTTGTCACTTGCAGCCACCAAATGTTTGTCACTCGCAGCCATCAAAATTAATGTTTGTCACCTGAATCTATCAATTTTTTTAAACTAACAGCCCACAATATCTGTCACTGAAAGCCTCCCTCTATACAAAACTGAAATACTTTGGTCCAGGTATGTTTTAATCAAATATCTGATGAAGCCATAATTAAAGGATTTTTTTCTGTAGAATTCCCCTACTGGCTGTACCTCTCATCAAACATGATTCCCAGGCTTTGTTTATACATCCTCAACTTCTGTTTGGCCACGGATAATTTGTAAAAATGTAACAATGGTTACAGCAAACAAAGTGGAAATACTTCCATTTGTACTTAAGGATAGTCTTTTAAAGATATAGCCAAATCCTATATGTTTATCCTATTTTCCACAGATATTCCTATTGTAATCATAATCTTTACCAAAAATAGAACATCCCTTTTCCTTGAAAAAGGAAATGCCTTAAGTGAAGTTTAAGTCAAAACTTTCTTAAAGGCTTGCAATGTTAAGAAATGTTAGGAAATATACACATTGAGAACCACGGCCATTATCAGAAAGAAAATGAGAAGGGAGGCAACCCCCATACCAACTCACCACATATTTTTTCTCCTTTTCCCAGGTCTGTGTGTCTGCTATGCTGACACTGGTAAGTTTAGACTTTGCCCCACCTCCAGCTCCTGACTCTGTCCTGGGTTTGTCAAATGACCCCGCCAATGCTTCATTACTCATGGTTGACCTAGGTCATAACCTGCTTACAAATACAGAAGATAAAAAAAGCATTGAATTGCATGAAGTACAAAATGTATAACATATCTCCTACTGTGACACTTTGTCTGATTACAACATGTCCATTTACAATTTTCATCAATCAAAAGGTCCATGGAACCTGTATCACAGCTGTTCTCCTATGGCAATGGCAAAATATATTTAGCTAAACTACTGATATCAGCCAATCAAAACTGGGTTTACAGTATTCATATTAGCTTTTGATTTTAAGCATTATTATTTATATGAACAAACATGAAATTAAATATCCCTTCACCTCTGCAATCAATATGCTGTATCATTACGCATGGCAAGATGGTTCTCAAGAAGAAGCTTTTTGAAGTTAAAATTTCACTTGACTGCTGTGACCTTGAATATTGGATAATTGTCATTCAAAATATTATGACTCCAGGCTTGCTTGTAATAAAGAGTCATTTGAATATTTGAACACAATTAACCCCTTCAATCTTAAATGCAGGTCATGGTATTTTATTTGAACAAAGCTGATAGCCACTCACCCCCCGAGCAAGTTACAGGCCAAATATCCTACTCAAGTTATCATTGATCAACAGAAGAAGTGGTTTCAATAATTTGATAGCCCTTTACTCGAGCAAGCTCCATAGCAATCACATCATGAAATTTGCTTGGATATTTTTTATCACATTTAACCTGTGACCATGAATATACTTATCGTATAGTAAAATATTTAACTTTAGAGCCCTTCACTCCAGGAAGCTTGGCTGAACATTTTAAATCATAGTCCAATGTCCTTTGAATTTTTATGAGATTCTAAGAATTTCTTGGAATACTGAAAAACATTGTGAAACCCATAGTTTAAACAGTTGGAAAGAACACATAAAAACTAAATTTATGTTCATCGCTATTTGAATATGGATCAAGGTATAATTTAATAACAATTGATAGCCCTTTATACCACCAACAAACACACCAAATATATAGTACTCAAATCATCAAGGTTCATGAAAGACCCCTGTGGCCTTGAATGAGGATCAATATTATCTACTTGATAACAGGGTTATAGCCCTTAACACTACCAAGCTTCAAAATAAATACAGGCCATTAATATTAATATTCACAGTTCATTAAAAGTTCTTACAAGTTCTTTGTATTTATGCACAGATACAAATACAGATAGTTTACCGGTATTAAAGTCTTAACTTCCGCATACATATATACAATGAAACATTAAAATATACATAAAACAAATGACGCAAGCCACTCTAAAAGAGTTACGAGACACTAGAAATAATTTAAATGCATGTAAAAGCACTTCACTTAAAAGAAACTTGCTTTAAAAGGCTATAAGAGAGAAGCTAATACATGCCATAAAATTATATTGAAATCTCAAACTTCAATGCACAATAATCAATGATACAGTAGATTTCGCTTAATATCACTTCCCATTTGTCAGCGAAAAACATGATACTAACCGAAACATGACATAAACAGAATACATATTTTCTGATGTTTTTCAGCCCTCAAAACCGAAAGTGAACTTAGTCAAATGCCTAAGTGGTGTGGCTCTACGAATTGAAGAAGATTGTAAAATAAAGATATTTTGTAACTAACCTTGTTCTTTACTCTAGTTGAAATATAGTATACGTAAATAAGTATAGAAATAAATATATTCTTTTTAATTTATTTCAGTATGCAGTTACATTTCATATATATAAGCCTATAGTTAGTAGCAAAATGACAATCAGTACGATCGTAATTATGATTATTTACTGCAGTAGTGATGAAGGCACACAAGTGTTTAGCTTGTATATAAATTATCATGACATTTAAGAATAGCTGCTAGAGCTTTGACACTATATTTAGCACAGTTCTCATTTGATAAGACAAAGTGTAGCTTCTCCTCATAACTAAATTTCAGAAAATCACTATCAATTTCTATAGCTCTATCATATAAAATGTCACGTATATCGTCAAAATCTGGACATTTAGTAAGTGTGTGCTCATCATCCTCTACCTGGTCTAACAAAATCTACATGTTCTGTTCATCACGGGTAGGTTTTCATATCTTCCGGTTTTGAGGCGCAGTGGAGCTACCCCACATCTAAATTTAGCGAGTGCACTACGTTGGCCCCTAGTAAGAGGCGACTTCACATATAGCTCACACATATAAGAAAGTTTGAATTTACTGTAGGTTTTTACTCCTCCCATTCTGCGCTGGCCCACTGGATTCTGTAAAGGTTGTAACCAGTTTTCTTTATAAATGTTCATCATAGCTTCCTGGACCATATTACATGCTTTGATTTTAGAATTTTGATTTTAGAATATCTCATCGCATCATGAACGTTCCTCCAATTTATTTTAAAATCTAAAATGCCAGTTCTTACAACTCCGGTTCGAGATTCTCCGACACCACTGGAAGACGCGATAATTGATACGTGAATTATCCATATTATTAAGTCTATACCAATGGGAAGCCGCACACTTCCATTGTCTTACTGTTGTTGGCTCCCAGGCCATCTCACCAGCCACTGCAGCATTTGGAGTATATTTACCAACAACCAAAAAGAAGCGTCCAGCCCGATTCTGTATGGCATTAATACACGTATAATCCTTTGTTCCCCATGTATCCGCTCCATAACTTATGGTTGACCACACCATGGTATCCCTGTATGGAAGCCCTCCGACGGCTTTGAATCTAGAGATAAGTAAAACTAAAGCACAGCTAGCGGATTGAGCTACACATTTGGCCGTTACCGCGTAATCTAGCGTATCCGTTAGCACTAGTCCTATGTACCTGTCACAGAAATCGATGTCCAAATCACCTCAATTAAGTAGATACTGAGACCAGGTGGTAGCCGCATTCCAGAAATGCACAACTTTCGTTTTACTTCTGTTGACAACAATATGATTAGTTAGACACCAGTCTGACAGTGCATTTAATAAACATTGGAGATCCTCCTCATTTTCTGATCTTTTTTATGTTTATATGAGCCCCTGCAACCTTGAATGTTGGTCAAGGTCATTCATTCAAACAACACTATTAACCATTGAACAAAGCAAGCTATCACATATAGCCAAAAGATTATGAGTCTGGACTTCATGGAATGTAAGATGTTGTTTAAATATTTTAACATATTTCATCCTTTGAACTTTGGTTTGTTTAAAGTTAACATTTAACATTATATAAACAACTTCTTCTAATAACCATAAGTAGAACTGACTTTCTTAGTGTTTGATTCATATTAAGGTTTTGTAAGCTCGTAGGAGTTACCTCCCTTTGTCATACTATTCTAAGTGGTGTATCTCAGCATACTGTTTTGATATATAAATGACATGTGAATTTGTCAGGTAAGACATGTGTTTGATAAGGTTACGGCATTGTGAAGCTCATAGTCAAACCACTCAGACGTATGTAATTTGTCTGAGGATAATCATTGTGTTTTGCCCCACCTAATCCCTGTTATGCCCCACCTAATCCCTGTTATGCCCAACCTAATCCCTGTTATGCCCTACCTAATCCCTGTTATGCCCCACCTAATCCCTGTTATGCCCCACCTAATCCCTGTTATGCCCCACCTAATCCCTGTTATGCCCCACCTAATCCCTGTTATGCCCCACCTAATCCCTGTTATGCCCCACCTAATCCCTGTTATGCCCCACCTAATCCCTGTTTTGCCCCACCTAATCCCTGTTTTGCCCCACCTAATCCCTGTTTTGCCCCACCTAATCCCTGCTCATTTGGTACCTTGAAAGTGTCGTTTCATATGGATCTAAGTGATGGAGTTTGATCATCATGCTCTGGAGGTAATGGCTTTCGTCAAGAATCTATAGTATAATACTATATACTGGGAATGTATAGTTTTTTGCCTTAGTAAGGCACTGTATGCTATCAACCACAGGTATCCATGCTAGGTCGTGGTTTTACCTGGGCTGTGAAATTACCTGAGATAGAGCTGGCCTAGTTAAAATCTATGTTCATCAAAATATATAAGTATGATTTTAGTTACAATTTATGATATAGAGTATTGATAAAAGGTGTGTTATAGTTTGTAAAATTTGGTCTTTGTAGACAAGGCAGTAGAATTCATATTGGTAGCTAAATACAATTTGTATGTACTAGCCACATATAACATATATGTAATGTATATGTTTCTGTGGAGATATGCAAAATACACATCCTATATGCTGTGTTTTTTGTCTGGAAGAAAAAAATGTGCAAGATGATATTTATTAACGGACGCACAGATTGGAGGGAGGAAGTAAACAAAAACATCACTAACAGCCAAGAAATATTTTGGTAATCAAAAAAGTAATCACCAATATGAAACATGTACACATTTTGGCACATAAAACAGTATCTGGAATGTAAACCTGGTGTGAAGGATCCTTCCTCCTCGGTGTAAAACAAGTGGCCAGTTACATTGAAATATTCACCCATTTCTTAACCAATCAGATTACAAGGTTTCTACACAAGGTATGATAGTTATCGGTGTTCAATGGCATATACATATAAAACAATCAAACAGTTCTACCTATCAGGAAGTTTAGTATAGATTTACTTACAAGCTCTGTGTTACTGTTGTTCTGTAGTCTCCAGCTGTCAAAGTAATTACCAGTACCCGAACACTGTAGTCAGTGGTCCACAACAAAATGGGGGTGTCTAGAGGAAAGATTCTGTTATGAACTTTACCCTGTGTAAGTGTGCAGTCAAACATTTGTATAGATGACTGAGATAGCTCACAATGATAAACCCACGTTTGTTATCTGTCAGGGTAACTACAGCCAGATCATAAACAAGGAAAAGTATGGTGGCACAACACATTATCCACAACCAATAAATTACAATTTTACATGTATGCATTGCCTTTCTTTTAGGGGAAAAGTAATCAGTGATAAATAAGGATAAATAGCTCTGCATGTACTTAATTGGTATGCAATCAATTATATCACCGTGTACCAGGTTCTGTATTTATCCAAGTTATAGAACAGGGATCAGTTAATAAGTTGTCAACCAATGCTCAGGATGATACAAGTCAACAATGCAGGTGTAAAGTAGATTATGTTATAATCTGCCATGTTTGTACACATTAGACTATGTGTTCAGCCTCAACTTCAGCTAGTAGCAGATTCTATGTAAGCTTTATTCTGACCAAGCCTTAACAGGACAAAAGTCAAAGGCCAAATGAAAAAGATTTCAGTCACCTAATTTTAGTTTCCAACACTAGACTATCTTTAGATGTGTCCCTGTTCAATATGAAAGATACGCTTCATGCATTTTTTTTAGCTGTTAAGCTGACAGAAATACTCAGTCTAGAGGAGTAACTTCATTGTGCTGTTACAATGTCATTTGAGAAAAAGGGATAGAAGCCATTAAATGATTGTAGGATGATCTGGAATACTACTTTTTTCAAATACTGGAGAGTTGGTAACATTTAAAGAGGATTCACTAAAAAATATTTTCCTTATATTCAGTCACCAAAGATAAAGCAAACTTAAATAGACAGTGAATAGTGATACCAAAACTTTATAATCTCTAGATCTGTGAATATATATTTACAGGCAAAAAAAGCTTGTGTTTTACATTTTAAACTTTGTGAAAGGGCTGCTCTTTTTTAGGTATTACCACGGAATTAGGTTTATATCTAAATTTGTGGTATTACAAATACATTAATTGTTGTATTGTCTAGGTTATACAGACTTTTAACCTTAATCTGAACATTTTATGCCAAAAATATATATATAGATCCTTCAGCAGTTTGAACGCCCAACGTCCCTCTCAATTTATGTTCGTAATTGTACAAATATATACTTTACAGCTTGCTTGGGGCGTTACGGTTTTGGGGCGAAACGTCTGACACCCACTTTACAACACACAAAGCGGGTGATACACACACACACGCAAATATGCAAACTCTTGATATTTATAAAATGTCATATGTCGAAGTTCACGTGCAGATAAAAATGATAACGTACAAACCTATTGAAGAAAGGCATGCCATCATCACTGTGGTCTAGATCTGCTGCGGCTCCGCCCACTGCCGTTGACCCTGTAATTTCCCGGTGTTCATTACAGCCCGGTACAGACTTGCAGGTTATATCTTTATGATATTGACCAATTTCAACAAGTTGGAGATAACTTGTCAACAATGGCTAGACCGTAAATGCAGCGGTACGGTGCGGTACCAGTGAGGCGACTCTATGATCATGTAGAGGGAATCGTTCCCGCTGAATCTGAGGTGTTCCACAGAGAACTGCACTCGGGCCGATTCTCTTTCATAGATTTAGTCATGGCTTACTCCACAAGGACATACGTCTCAGCCAAAATATACAATGCAGTAGCCTGAGTTTCCTGTGGCCCTAACACCAGACTTAAACATCTTGACAGATAGATCACCTGACATCTATCTGTCGAAATGTCTAAGTCTGGTGTCAGAGCACCACAAGGATTATACATTAAATTAGGTTTAATCAGAGACGTATATATACGTCTCTGGTTAAACCTAATTTAATTTATCAATATTTTGTTGTCTTTTCATTTTTTCTGATTTTAAATCAAGTCAGTGACTTTTGCATGTAATATAATATTACGCACTTCTAAAATGATTTATTTCAATCAGAGTCTCTGTTTCAACACGGATTAATTGTAACATCTAAATGCAAATATTATGCTTGATAAGCATATTTTTTTTTTAATTATATCTTTGTCAACATCTTATTTCTGGCTACAACACTGTTATTTATTGTCATTTTCATCAAAGCTTTATTAACCTGATAGACATAGAGGTACAATTTTAAGTAATACGTACACCATAATTTTTACATGATCTTATTGAACAAA